ATGATATGACATGATATGTTTGGCTATGTTATGCTATGCTATGTTATGCTATGCTATGTTAATGCAGCGCTGCACTATGCTAAGCTAAACTAAGCTAAGCTAACCCTCTAGGCGGAGCCTAGGTAGGGAATTACACCATGCTAATGCTATGCTATGCTGCGCTGTGCTATGCTGTGCTATGCTGTGCTGTGCTGTGCTGCGCTATGCTATGCTATGCTATGATATGCTATGCTGTGCTATGCTGGGCGTTGCTATGATATGCTGTGCTGCGCTGTGCTGTGCTACGCTCTGCTATGCTACGATGAGCTCTGCTATGCTAAAGCTCGGCGAAGCTAAGCTGAAGGTACGCTAAGCTAAGATAAACCTGAGCTAAGATGAAGCTAAGCTAAGCTATATGAAATACGCTAAGCTAAGATGAGATAAGCAACGCTACGCTAAGGGAACGTCACTGGGGGAACCGCGGGGCGGATGCCGGGGAAACCGCCCGGGGCGGGTTACACTGCCCAGCCCTTTAAGCTTATAAAGTAAGAACCCTTCTAGGCAGAGCCTAGGTAGGGAAACATAACAAACAACAACTTATCTGGATCGCTCCAGGATCTTCAGACAGTCTTCTCCCAGCGGGGCACTCCCCTCAGTGAAAATGAATCCGTGTATGGTGCCTGTGAGAAGCGAACTTTGGAGAGGGTCTATTCCAACATCCTTGATGTGTCTTGAGCTCGCACTGGTCCTCCTCCTCCTCCCTCTTCTTCTCCTCCTCCGGGGCAAGACAGAGAGCCACGGGATCCGCAACTCCCTACAACGAACATGACCAAAACTCATATTGGAGCGGACCTCGACAACCCTGAGGATACGAGAGACACCAGGCGAGGCATGCCTGTACTCGCCTCTGCCGAGCCTGCTCCAGATCTTCTCGGCCCACCCTGGGAGCTTTCCCAGACAAGTAGAAGAGAGCATGGCAAGACGAGCAGACGAAATCGCACCACATCTGGAACATCCAATTCGGTCGACTATATCCTGAAGCCGAAAGTGGACACGGGCACGTGGCACCTTGCCCTGGATACTAAATTCCCTGGAGGCAGCAATCGCGCGCGACACTGAGTCTCGAGGCACAGGATCCTGCACCAGAGCCAGCTGTGGGAGGTCACCGGCACGCGCCACCCACTGCACCCAGGACTTCAACATCCTGACACGGGCCTGCAGCGCAGAGCGGCGGGGCTGCGGGAGACGGAAGGCCTGGGCCGCCCACTTGGCGTGGACGCTAGCGCTGTCGTTGCCGATTTTGACTCTCGTCGCCACACGGCCAGCAGCAACATCATTGCGGGTCGAATGGGCAGGCACTTCAACGAAAGACAGCGACGGAAACGTCACACCCTCGAAACCCCAGTCATCAAGCCTGTCCCAGACCTCGCGCAACTGGAATGAGTAGCCAATACTCGCGTGCATTCAAGCCTGCCTCGGGCTCCTCCTCGTTTTTTACCTCCCCGCTTCCTTCCTGCTCCTCCTCCCCCTCCTCCCTCCCTCCTCTCTCTCCTCCTCCTCCTCCTCCCCCTCCTCCTCCTCCTCCTCCCCCTCCTCCTCCTCCTCCCCTCCCTCCCCCTCCTCCCTCCCCTCCTCCTCCTGCCTCCCCGCCGAGGCTGCCGCGGCCGCGCTGCCAGTGCTCGACCAGCAGCTCCGCGCCCTAGAGGCTCACGCGCGCCGCCTGCGGCGCGCCGGGCGGCCGCGGCTGCCGCTCCCAGGCGGTGGCGCGGGGGGGTCCTCTTGGAACGCCTCGCGGCCACGCGCAGATGGGCGCGATCCTCCTCCCTCCTCCTCGTCCTCCTCCTCCTCCTCCTTCGTCTCCTCCTCCTCCTCCTCCTCCTCCTCCTCCTCCCTCCTCCTCCGCCTCCTATATCTCCTCCTCCCTCCTCCCTCCTCCTCCTCCTCCTCCTCCTATCCTCTCCTACTCCTCCTCCTCCTCCTCCTCCTCCTCCTCCTCCTCTTACCTTGCCCTTTCCTTTTGTCTCTCTCCTCCTCCTTCCTCCTCCCTCCTCCATCCTCCTCCTCCTCCTCCTCCCTCCTCCTCCCTCTCTTCTCTTCCTCCACTTCTCCTCCTTTCCTCTTCCTCCTCCTTGCTCTCCCTCCTTCTTCCTCTTCCTCCTCCTCCTCCTCCTCCTCATTCTCCTCCTCGCCTTTCCCTCCTCCTCCCCCTTCCCCTCCTCCTCCCCCTCTTCCTCCTTCCCCCCCTGGGGGGGGGGAGGGGGGTTGGGTGGCGGGGGACGCGGGGCATGGGGAGGGCATGCGCCGGCCCGCAGGACGAGTTGGGAGGGGGAGAGAATATCCAGGACCAACCAGTGGCGAAGCGCCCCGGCTTGCTTATTATAGGCCCACCTAGGAATCGGGGGCGGCAAAGAGGGGGGTGATGACTAAGGGGGGGTGAATATCATGGCGCCTCTTCTTATTTCATTACCTACGTCCCCGCAGCCCCCCCCCCTGGGCACGCACATGCCTTGGCATGATTTGGCATCCCCCCCCCCTCCTGGACGCCCCCCTCTTAGCCGCCCCCGAAGGAATGTCCCAAGCGCATTTTGTGGTCTGCGCGAGGTGTTCCTAGAATTAGAACATGTCTGGCCGAGACCGTCTTGTCTTAAAACGCATCCGGCCCATTTTCTAAGGACCGTGTTCTTGTTATATGATAAAATGCTGGGGCTCTGGGAAGACATGTAGTGGTAGGCCTGTAGGAGTGCCCTGACCGTCGGTCCCTGCTCAAAATGATACGCCGTCGGTTGGAGCCCGTCGTCTTTGTCCAACGTCTGGGTTCTTCTTCCACAGCAGCGCGCAGATTGGCGACCACGGCGACGTGCCATTGTCAGGCGATCGCAAACATGGATCCAGGGGGCGTGGATTAGCGACGGGTCCCACTTCCATGGGAACTCGCGAACTTCCCCCGCCGAGCGAGGCGGCACCGGCCGCATTCTGGGGAGGGCACCTCCCCCGATCCATGGATTTGGCGACCGCGCGCCAGATCCATGGATCGCTGACCCATGTTTGCGCGCCCCCGACATTGGTATCGCTCTCCCCCCCGGGCCAGAGACCAACCTGCCTTCCGCACAGGCCTCGAGGAGGCGCGTGGGCACCGGGGAGGCCCAGCGGGCACGAGCCTTCGAGTGCCCCCTGCCCCGGTCTCGCGGCCTCCCCGGCCTCCCCAGCCTCCCCGCCCTGTCCCAGCACCCGCGCTGCACCACCACGCGAGGGGCCTCGGATAGCTTCGGCTCCGCCCGCATACGGCTTCTCGGTCTCGCAGCTCCGGCCAGCTTCGGCGTCGCGGTGCGGATTGCGTGCCCCGGCGGCTCTCTCGGAACTGCAGCGCGCGGTCCCAGCAGCGTGGCCGATGATGCGGCAAGCGGTGCTGCGACGCGTCAGAGCGACTCGCAAGCGAACGGGGGAGGAGGAGGAGGAGGAGGAGGAGGAGGAGGAGGAGGAGGAGGAGGAGGAGGGGAGGAGGGGGAGGAGAGGAAAGAGGAAGAGGAAGAGAAGAGAAAGAGGAAGAGGAAAGAGGAAGAGGAAGAGGAGAGGAAGAGGAGAGGATAAGAGGAAGAGGAAGAGGAGGAGGAGGAGGAGAGGAGGAGGAGGAGGGAGGGAGGGAGGGAGGGCTTCTTATCTTGTGAGAGGGAGGGAGGGATGGAGGAGGGAGAAAGGGTGCGGAGGAGGAGGAGGAGGAGGAGGAGGAGGAGGAGGAGGAGGAGGGAGGAGGAGAGGAGGAGGGAGGGGGGGAGGAGGAGAGGAGGAGGGAGGAGGAGGAGGAGGAGGAGGAGGTAGGAGGAGGAGGAGGAGGAGGAGGGGGGGAGGAGGAGGAGGAGGAGGATGAGGAGGAGGAGGAGGAGGAGGAGGAGGAGGAGGAGTGAGGAGGAGGAGGAGGGGGAGTGGAGGAGGAGGAGGAGGAGGAGGAGGAGGGAGGAGGTAGAGGAGGGGAGAGAGGAGGAGGAGGCGGAGCAGGAGGAGGAGGAGGAGGAGGAGGAGGGAGGAGGAGGAGGAGGAGGAGGATCTCCGAGCGTGACCAGGGTCCTGTCGATCTATGCGCTTCGGCGCCGCTGCAGGGGAGAGAACTTGGCGGCCCGATCGGATCGCCGCGCAGAGCGCGAGCGACACGAGCCAGCGCGCCCCGTGGTGGTGTGGCCGCTGCTTCTTTTGGCCGCCCGTGCGGCCTGCAGCTGCCAACGCCACGGCATCTGCGCCTTGCACGCGTCGCATTCTCTCTTCTCCACTGCCGCCTGCCCCTCTATCGAGGAGGAGGAGGAAGAGGAGGAGCAGCAGGAGCAGGAACAGGAGCAGGAGGATAAGGAGCAGGGGGAGGAACAGGAGGAGGAACTGGAGGAGCAGATGGAGGAGGAGGAGGAGAAGGAGGAGGAGGAGGAGGAGGAGGAGGAGGAGGGGGAGGAGGAGCAGGAGAAGAAAGAGGGCAGGAGGTGCACGAAGAGAGGGAGGGTGGAACAGCAGCAGAGGACGAGAAGGAGGAGAGAGGAAGGAGGAGGTGGAGGAGGTGAACGAGGAGGAGGAGGAGGAGGGGAGGTGGGGAGGACGAGCAGGAGGAGCAAGAGAGGAAGAGAGCGGGAGGAGCAGGAGGAGAGGAGGACAGGAGGAGAGGGAGGAGGGAACAGCAGCAGGGAGAGAGGAGGAGGAGGAGGAGGAAGGAGGAGGAGGAGGAGGAGCAGGAGGGGGAGGAGGAGGAGGAGGAGGAGGAGAGAAGGGAGGAGGAGGAGGAGGAGGAGGAGGAGGAGGAGGAGGAGGGAGGCAATCCCCCAGGCCCTCCGCAGGCGGCACGGCCGCGCTCCTGCCCGCGGCGCCCCCGCGGCCGGCTATCCGCTGGGCATCCGCCCGTGGCGGCAGCGGCCCCAACGCGTTGCTGCCCGGGGCGCTTCCGGGGCGCGCCGAGCTCCAGGTGGCCTCGGGCGCCGCCGCCGCCGCCGCCGCCGCCGCCCGCGACGGCAGCGGCGGCCCCGGCGCGGCGCCGCCGGGGCGCGCCGGCGGGGGCGCGCTGCCCGCCGCGGTGCCGCGCGCGGGGCGCGGCGCGGGCGAGGAGGCGGGCTTGATGGGCTTGTTTTCCACCACCACCATGAGTTGGAGGGGGAGGGGGTCCTCCTGTTCCTCCTCCGCCTCATCCTGCTCCTCCTCCTCCTCCTCCTCCTCCTCCTCCTCCTCCTCCTCCTCCTCTTCGTCCTCCTCCTTCTAGTCCTCCACCCCCTTCCCCCCTCCAACTTATGGTGGTGGCGGTGGAAAACAGGCCCATCAGGGCTGGGCGCCGGCAGCGCGAGGCGTGGAGTCGCCGGCTGCGCAGGTCGAGGCGCCCGGGGCCGTGTGCGGCGGCCCGGAAGGGGCCTCGCCTGCGAGTCGTTGTCGGGGGGGTCGGCAGAGGTGCCCCTCTGCAGCGCAAGGTGCCCCCAGCGTTTCTCGCCCCGCGGTGGAGCCCCCTGCACCTCGTGAGGGAGCTGTGGAGGCCGCGGGGGCCGCCTCGGAAATCCTGGGGGCACCTTGGGCCAGGGGCACTTCTGGCAGCACCGGATCGGAGGCGTTCGCATCTCTTCCTCGATACATATACATATGTATAAACAACTAGTCATTTACTTGTATATCTATATATATATATATATAGAAGTATGTATGTATACATAATTGGACTATCTTTAATTCTTCCGTCCAAAACCCGCCTGTGGGAGGCCATGCCCGACCTACTGATGACCCGCCCCGCCCTGGGAACGTGCGGTCTCGCTATCGGGGGGCCTCTCGCCGATCCATCGCCGATTCCAGCTCTCGGTGTCTTCTTGGCCCCCCCCCCGTCGAGGAGCAAACAACGGCATAAACGTAAATTTCCGGAGGTCCGCGCGGATCTCTTCCATCTGCGCTGGGTCCCAGGGGGACATGCCCGACCTAAGCCCTAGCGGCGCCTGCGGCGCCTTCCCTGCCGCGATCCGGAGAAGTTCGCGCAGACTTCTGAAAGTTTATGTCGATGCCGTGGTCCGCTCCTTTACGCAATGGGGCGTTGGTTAATGAATGTGCCCACCAGGTTTCAGACCCTGGGGGGATTATTTATCTGATGAGGGCAGCAGTTGGATCGAGGACGAATCCTCGAATGAAGTTCCACTGGCTTCTATACCGTGGGTTTCTTGTCCCATGGTTCTTTATCCAGAGCCCTCACCGTTTCATTCACCATCGGGAATGTAGCAACACCCGCGCGCAGCAGTGGCTTTTCGTTGGCTCGGGCAACACGCTGGGTCACACTGCCTGTACCCTCGCTTCCTTAGTCTGTCCAACGGTTCTCTATCCAACGCCCTCACCGTATCGTGCACCACGAGGTGCCCTCGGATCCAGGGAGGGCTCCCAGCAGCTGTGGGTGTGGATGTCCTTCTGGCAGCGCTTCTCCCCTCCCCAGGATGCGCCGGCCTTGCGGCCAGGGACCCCCGGGCGGTCCGCTGCGGAGGACCGCCTGGATGGAGAGGGAGGAGGGAGGAAGGGAGGAGGAGGAGGAGGAGGAGGAGGAAGAAGAGGAGAAAGAGGAGGAGGAGGAAGGAATGAGGAGGAAGGAACGAGGAGGCGGAGGATGAGGACAGCGCGCGGCAGCCCACACCGAGTCGCGCACGGCCGACGGCGCGGCCGCGGCGCCCCGCCCACGCGGGCGACGGGCGAGACTGCCTGCGCGCGACGGGGAAAAGGCCCCGCCCCACGGGCAGGCGGGAGGCCCCAACCGAACGGAGCCGCCCCCACGAAGGGGGAGGCCGAACGGCAGGGCCACCCGCACTCCCAAGGGGCAGGGCAAAAAAAGGGCCCGGACCCCGGGACCCACGAAACGACGACGACGACAACGACAACGACAACGACACGACACGACGGGGAGAAGGGCCGCCAGCCCCGCCCCAAGGCCGCGATTGCGGGGAGTGAACTCCCGCACCGCCCTAGGGGAGGCCACGGGAACTGGCAGCCTCCCGGGGAGGAACGCCTGGGCGCGGGGGCTTGGACCCCGAAGGCCCGGTGCCCCCCGCCTACGCCAGGGGGCACTTTGGCCCAACACCCTGCTTATGGGGGTGCCCCTCCAGGGCAGGAGGGGGATGAGGGGGAGGAGGAGGAGGATTTCAGAAGGAGGAGGAGGAGGGGGCTAACGAGATGGACGATGATGATGCTGCTGCTGAAGATGGTGACGATGGGGACGAGACTGATGATGCTGATGATGATGAGCGAATGCTGGTGCTGATGATGATCAGGTTGGTAATGATGCTGCTGATGATGATGGTGACGGTCGTGATTGCGACGGTGATGGTGCTTATGATGGTGTTAATGATGATGAGAATGATGTTGCTGCTAATGCAGCTGATGTCCATGATGATGTTGATGATGTTAGTGGTGGTGTGATGATGATTATGATGATAACTATGATGATGTTGATGGTGCTGGTGATGATGTTCATCCTGATATGCATAAATATGCTTATGACGACGATGGTAATGGTGATGCTGATGAGACGGATGACGCTGATGATGATGATTGGTATGCTGATTTTGGTACTACTGATGTTGATGATGATGGCGGTGATGATGATGATGCTGATGATGATGCCAATCGTTGTGACGATGCTGATGCCGATGGTGGCTACTGCGATGTTGGTTGCGATGATGATGTTGGTGATGCTGATAGTGATGGTGATGGTGATGATGATGATCATGATCGTAATGGTTATGATGCCCATGCATGGTGATGATGTTGATAACGTGGGTGATGATGGCGACGATCAGTATATGTTGCTGCCGATGCTGACGAATAGGGCGATGGTGATAATCATGCTGGTGGTTGTGATGCTGGTGATGACGATGCTGGTGATGATGATGTTGTTGGTGGTGGTGTTGTTGGTGATGATCATGATGGTGCTCGTGCTGTTGGTATTGACGCTCCTGCTGATGTGGATGATGATGATGATGCATATGCTGATGCTTACGATGGTGGTGGTGGCTGTGACGATGCTGACGATGATGACGAGGATGGTGCTGATGATGGTCATGCTGATGGTGATTGCAATGCTTATTGTTATTGTGCTCGTGGTGGCAACGATGGTGATCATGCGGATGATGAGGATGATGATGATGATGATGACGGTGACTGTGATGTTGATGTTGATGGTGATGGGGATGGTGATGATGATGGTGATGGTGCTGGTGATGATAATGGGTGTGGTGATGATGCTGGTGGTGATGTTGGTGATCGCGAAGAGATGGAAGCGCTTCAAGCAGGACGAGGAGGACGATGGCGTGGACGTGGACCGTCAAGGGGATGAGACAAAGGGAGGAGGGCGAGGAGGAGCAGGTTGACCAGTGAAAGGTCAAGACGCACCAGCGAGGCTGTCCCTTCTCACAGGTCCGTGCAATAATGGAACTACGTTCGTTGCGGAAAGTGCCCAAGGGGAAGGCACCCGCCCGAGAATCCTAAATCGTTCCAAAACGCCGGCCTTGGGACTCCAACGTCGCGAATCAACGTGATTGCCCCGTCCTGGTAATCCTTGACCGTGTCAGAGCACCACGGGCGCTGATGCGAGAGCCGCGTAATGAAAAGGAACCACCCTTCATCCATGCAGCTGTTGCAGACTTTGAATTCAAATATGATGTGCCCGCCGCTGAGGCGAGAGCCACGTTTTGAAACCCACACGCCTTCCACCCGTTATGCTTTGCAAGCTTGAAGCGGCGAGCGCGTGCGGCGTTAAAGCGAGACGACTATTTTTAAGGATGGCCCGCTCTTCAATTGTAAACTTGTTACAAACATTTGAGTCGAGGGCTTGCAGCACGAAGGCGAGAGCCACATGTTGAAAACCACCCACCCTTCATGCTTGAAGCTGTTGCAATATGTTGATGGCGAGTGTGCGCGGTGCTAACGCGGTCGACATGTTTGATTTCTTTGGTGAAGAATACGGGCCACCCCCCATCCGCGTGCATGTTGCAATTGTCAAATTTCAGGATCCTATCGAGAAAAGGAATTCACAATCGAAACGTCGGGCCTGCTCTACCGAAGCGTCAGGGGGTGTAACAGGGAGGGGTTGCTTACGAGGAAAAGGTATGGAGGAGGGAGGAGGCAGAGGCGGAGGAGGAGGAGGAAAAGGAGGGCATGAGGAGTTGAAAGGGAGTGGAGGAGGAGGAAAAGGAGGAGGAGGAGGAAGAGGAGGAGGAGGAGGAGGAGAAGAGGAGGAGGAGGAGGAGGAGGAGGAGGAGGAGGAGGAGGAGGAGGATGGAGGTCAGGTCCGCCGTTCGGTCGTCCCTTCTCGTTATCTGGGTCTCCTGTTTTTGTCTTGCCCCTCCCCCTGGCGCCGCCTGGTGTGAGGGGTTCGACGGTTTCGACCGTTCGAGGTGACACGGTGCGCAGCTTCGAGCGTCGAAGAGGGGGGGTGAGGGAGGAGGGAGGAGGGAATGAGGGCGGGAGGGAGGGATGATGAGGCACAAGGGGAGGAGGACCAGGAGGAGAAGGTTGGGGAAAGGGGAGATGGGAAGGGGAGGAACGAGGAGAATTTGGAGGGGAGGGAGGGAGGGGAGATTAAAGGAGGAGGAGGAGGAGGAGGAGGAGGAGGAAGCGAGGAGGAGGACAGGAGGAGGCGGACGGAAGGAACGACGAGGAGGAGGGGAGAAAAGGGAGGAGAGGAGAGAAGGAGGAGCAGGATGAGAGACGGAGGAGTGTGGAGAGGATGAGAGGCGATGACTTTGGAGGAGGACAGGGAGGAGGAAAAGGCGGGGGAGGAGGGTGAGAAGGAGGAGGTTGGGACAAACACCAGCTCCAGAAACTAGGCTGCCCCCGTACGCATATATGATTTGTCATATGCCTCGTTGTCTTCTGCCTCGTCCTCGTCCTATGGGAAGGGGAGGAGGAGGAGAAGGAGGAGGAGGAGGAGGAGGAGAAGGAGGAGGAGGAGGAGGAGGTGGAGGAGAGAAGGGGCGGAGGAGGAGGAGGATAGGAAGATAGGTGGATAGGGGATAGGAGGGATAGGAGGATCGGAGGATCGGAGGATCGGAGGACATCGGTGATCGGAGGATCGGAAGGAGGAGGAGGAGGAGGAGGACGGAGGAGGAAGAGGAGGAAGAGGAGGAGGAGGATAGAAGGAGGAGGAGAGAGGAGGAGGAGGGGAGGAGGAGGAGGAGAGGAGGGGGAGTAGAGGAGGCGGAGGAGGAGGAGGAGGAGAGGTAGGAGGAGGAGGAGGAGGCGGAGGAGGGGGGAAAAAAAAGGGGGGAAGGAGGAGAGGAGGAGGAGGAGGGGAGGAGGAGGAGGGAGGAGTAGGAGGAGGAGGAGGAGGAGGAGGAGGAGAGGAGGAAGGAGTGAGGAGAGGAGGGGGGGGGAGGAGGATGAGGAGGAGGAGGAGGAGGAGGAGGAGGAGAGGAGGAGGGGGATGAGGAGGAGTAAGGAGGAGGAGGAGGAGGAGGAGGAGGAGGAAGGAGGAGGAGGAGGAGGAGGAGGAGGGAGGAGGAGGAGGGGAGGAGGAGGAGAGGAGGAGAAAGAGGAGGAGGAGGAGGAGAGGAGGAGGAGGAGGAGGAGGAGGAGGAGGAGGAGGAGGAGTGAGGAGGAGGAAGGAGGAGGAGGAGGAGAGGAGGAGGAGGAGTGAGGAGGAGAGGAGGAGGACGGAGGGGGAGGGAGGAGGAGGAAAAGAGGAGGAGGAGGAGGAGAGGAGGAGGAGGAGGAGGGGACCGGGGAGGAGGAGGAGGAGGAGGAGGAGGAAGGATGAGGAGGAGGAGGAGGAGGAGCAGGAGGGGAGGAGGAGGAGGAGGAGGAGGAGGAGGAGGAGGCGGGGAGGAGGAGGAGGGGGGGGATCGAGCGTCAAGGTCGAGGATTTTCCGACATTGGCAGCCCCCTTCTGGCATCCCATTGTTTGTCTTCCCCATCCCCTCAGCAGTGTCGACTCCATGGCATGGCAGGTGGTGCAGCGGCGCCGCCGGGCCACGCGGGGCGACCCTGAGCTGGTGTTCGAGGTGCTGCGGTCGCTGTTCACCGGAGGGGGAGGAGGGACATGGCAAGCGAGCCCCTCGGCCTCCCCGCAGGGCCGAGTGGCAATGCGCCTGCGGCACGCACAACTTCGAGGATTGCACCGCCTGCCGCCGGTGCGCGGCCCCTCGCGCCGGGGCCCCTGCTCCCGCGCCCCCCCCCGCGGGAGCCGCCCGCGGAGCCGCGGAGGCGTGGCCAGCTTTGCCAGGAGGCCGGCAGCAACGGCCCGGGGCCCAGGCCGACGCCTTCCGCCAAATTGCGGCCGCCGCGCGCAGGGCGGGCGCGCCACCGGAAGCGGTGCAGCCACTGAGGAGGCCGCAGCCCGCGAACGCCAGGCGCAGCAGCGCGCCAGCAACCGCCTGGAGAACCTCCGGGCGGCGGCGCAGCGAGCAGCAGCCGCGGCGACAGCTGCAGACGAGGCGCTGGCGACGCGCCAGGCGGCGGAAACCCACGCCGCGGCTGCAGCTGCCGAGGCAGCCGCTCAGGAGGAAGAGCAAGCCCAGCGCGCGGCGCAAGCACGCGGGGCGGCCGCCCCAGGAGAGGGGGCTGCGGGGCTGCTCCTGGCCACGCGCGAGCTTCTGGACCGGCTGGAGAACGGGGCTGGGGCTTGGGCCGCGGCGCCTCCAGAGCCGCACCTGCAAGCGATGGCAGCGGCATGCGCTGCCCTCGCGGCCGCGGCAGAGCCAGCCGCGGCGCCCGACCTGGACGCGGAACTCGGCACCCGGGGGGCGGCGGCTCCACCGCGCGGAGGAGAACGCCTTGCTGGAGGAGCTCGACCAGGCGGGGGCGGACGACGACGCGGCCTTGCTCCAGGCCGCCCGGAGGCCTCCGCAGCCGCGCGCCTGGACTCGCCCCGGCGGCCGCGCAGCCGCAGCCGCAGCCGCAGCCACTGAGACGGCTTTACGGCTGCGCCGGCCAACGGGTCGGCAGGCTAGCCGCCTGGGCCCGCCAGCGGGGGCCCAGCCGCTTGCTTGCCCAGGCTGCTCGGGGCCATTGAGAGCCACGCGAACCCTGCGCACGGGCGCTTGCGGGGTCTGCGCTGGAGGGGGCCGGGCGTGGCGGCTGGCTCTACCTCTGCGCACAGCTTGCTCTGCCGGGACTGCGCAGACGTCGCCGCGGAGGCGGCCGCTGGCAGAGGGACAGCGCCCGCAGCGGGCGGCGCCGGCGCCGCGCTGGCTGGGAACGGCGCCCCTGCAGGTGCTGCAGACGCCGGCGCTGGTGCGGCGCCTGGCCCAGCTCCCCCAGAGCCCCTAGCGCAGGCGCCGCCGGCGCCCCCGCTCCCGCCGCCGCCCCTCCGAGACCTGGACGCGGCTTGCTTGGCGGCGCTCGGCGGGCTCGAAATGATCCGGGAATTCGCGATCTACTGCCCGACGCTCCGCTACGTCCCCAGCGGGGCACGGGCCGCCGCGGCGCAGATCACGGCAGCGGCGCCTGCCCTTTTCCGCGACTCACGCCGATCCGGAAACAGGCGGGCGGCGCCAGGCCAATCGCGGCGCCAAACGTCCCCCGGCGGCTGGCGGGGCGAGCGCTGACAACTCGCCGAGAGTTCGCCGAGAGCTCGGGCAGGCGCCAGTACGCCATCGGCGTGGCGGCCGGCACGGAGCTCCCCGCGCACACGTCGCGCGCGCTCGCCGAGTCCCGCCCAGACTCGGTGCTGGCGGCCCTTGACGCGAAGAACGCATACGGCTCAGCGGACCGAGCTGCCTGCCTCGCTGGGCTGGTGCCCGAGGCCCCAGAGCTCCTCCCCTTTGCAGAGCTCTTTTGCAGGCGCACTTCCCAGTACCTCTACTGGGGCGGTCGCGGCCGCTGCCTGCGCCTCACAGCCGAGGGCCCCTTGGCGCCGCTCCCTTTTATACGCCTGCGGCGCCAAGCCGAAGCTTCGCCGGCCGGGGGGGGGAGCTGCGAGCGGCGGCGGAACGCGCGGGGCTGCGAGCCGAGGACGTCCACGTCCTCGCCTGCCTGGATGATACCGCCGTGGTCGCCCCGGCCGCGCTGGCAGCCAAGGTGGAGCCAACCGCGCAACGCGTCCTGGGAGAGGTTGGTTTGGAACAACAACCAACGAGAACGCAGGCCTGGTCTGCGGGCGCGGCCTGCCCCGCGGGGCTGGAGAGCTACTGGCGGGCACGAGGCCTCGCACTGGCGGGCGCGCCGCTGCCCGCGCAGCCGCCGTGCGACCTCCCAGGCGCAGGGGGCGAGCGTCGGGTTGCCTTGGGGACGACGGGCTACGCCGCCGAGCACAGGGCTGCGCCGCCGAGCACAGCGACGGAGCGGCGAGGCGCGCGGCCGCCCTCCTCGAGAAGCTGACGGACCTGCCCGAGGAGGCCTCGCCGCGCTTGCCCGCGAGACAGGCAGCCTCGCAGCTTCTGGCGCCACTGCGGGACTGGCAAGCTCACCCACCTGCTCAGAACCACGCCGCCGACGAGCACGGTGGCAGCCGCGGCCAGCTGCGACGAGGCGCTCCTGGCTGCTTACAGGCAACTGCTCCGGCTCGACCCGCTTACGGAGACGCAGCGAGGGGCCCGCAGACTACCGCTGCGCCTCGGCGGCTGCGGCCTCCGCAGCCAAGAGCAGCTGGCGCCGGCGGCCCGCGCTGGCTCCTGGGCCCAGAACCTCGCGGAGGTGCGAGCCCGCACTGGCTTTTGGCGATCGACGACTTGGAGCGGGCCGAACAGCCCCTTGCCGCAGCTTGCCGGGCCGCCCGCAACTGCAGGCCGGCGCTGGGCCGCCAGGTAACGGGCCAGGAGTGGAGGCCGGCGCGCTGCGCGCCTGGGCCGCCCTCGCTCACGAACCTCGCACCAAGGTGCAAAAAACGCTCGCCCGCAGGCTTGACTAGAAAAACTATTCAGCATTGCGGAGCGCCTGCGCCGGCGAAGAGAAGGCGAGACTGGGCTCCTGCGCTCCTGCGGCGGGCCGCGCGCAGCCGCCCGGCAGCGGGCCGCGCCAGGGGCGGCGGGACAGAGGCTCAGCGACACAGCTCTGTCTGACAGCGCGCGCTCTTCTAGGCCAAGACTTAGCTCCGCGGCCCGCACGCAGGCCGGGTCTGTGGGGGGCGCCCTGCTGCAAAGCACACTACTCTTTTCGATGTTCCTGCGGCGGCGGCGTAAAGTCGCGCAGCATGCAAGGGCGTCGCGGACGTGTCGGAACCACGCGGCCAGGCAAGTCCACGTCCCAAGTTGGCATAGGTGGACGCGGCGCTGCTGGAGCTGCGACGCCCGGGGCGCGGGTCACCAGCAGCCCGCTGGCCCTTGCGGCGGTTGCGGTCAGGCCGTCGTCTCCCACAGAGAGGAAGCCATCCTCGATATATATACAGGCACAGCATATCGGCTGCCCGCGGCTGTTTATATATGTAACAGTTTGGTACGCCGTGCGCGGAGACGAGGCGAGCCCGGCCGCGGCTGCCAGCCGAGACGGCGCAGTGGCAGCAGCAGCAGAGGCCGACAAGAGGCAGCGGTACCCAGAGGGTCGGTGCCGGTGGCCGGTGCTTCCTTTGGCCTTTGAGTCGGGGGGGCGGCACGGCAAGGCCGCCTTGCGCCACCTCCGCCAGCTGGCGCGCGACCAGGCGCAGCTGTTGACCAGGACAGGGCCAAGGCGGTCTGCAGCGCTCTCTGCCGACGCTGGGGGGCGGAGCTGAGAGCCACGGCCCGACAGCTCCGCAGCAGCGTAGGCAGCCGCGAAGACGTGGCGACCTTGCGCGAGGCAGCAGCGGCCTGAGTGGTGTATAGTCGCGTTGCGTTGCAGGGGCAAAGGACACAGCTCAGGGCTTTCCCCTGAGAGCCAGCGGGTCCGCCACGTCCGCGGCTGGCCTTCTATGAAGGAGGGGGAGGAAGAGGAGGAGGAAGAGGAGGAGGAGGAGGAGGAGGAGGAGGAGGAGAAGGAGGAGGAGGAGGAGGAGGAGGAGGCGGAGGAGGAGGAGGAGGAGGACGAGGCTGCAATGGTCGAGGGCTGCGTAGCCAAATCCAGCCCTCGGGCCGCAGTCCCCCCCGTCACGTGCGTCTCCGCCCGAGGGCCTTCCAAGGGGCAGTCGCGACTCAGGGGCGGAAGGAGTTCCAGCGGGATCCCTTCCCTCAGGCCAGGCTCGCGCGCGCGCTCGCGCCGCCGCCGCCGCCATCATGCCCCCGCGCGCACTGCGCCCGCGCCCTCGCGGCATGGCCCACAAACTTGCACTTCCCGCCAACTCTTGCAGGTCCCATGTGTCCTCCAGCGCTCCGCGGCAACCGGCTGGCTCCCAGGCGCCAGTGCACGCCTCGCGCAGCCCACGCAGCTCCACGCACTCGCCGAGCAAATGCCTGAGGCCTGCGCTGGACACAGCGGGCGCCCAAACACAGTGCCGCACACCGGGCACGCTCGGTTGTCGTAGTTCCAGTGCTCTGGCCACCACACCTCTGCAGGCACGCGCGCCGTCACCTGGGCCATTGACCAAGCCCGAAAGCACCTCCACATACTTGCCCCCCACGGCGCCCAGCGGAGCCCCGGAGCCAGCGGCGGTCGTAGCAGCAGCAACTCGCGATGCGAGATGAGGCCCTCCTCACTAAGGGCAGCCAGCTGGAACAAAAACCATCCCTGCTCCTGCGCGCGCACAGCTGGAATCAGGACCTGGTGCTTCCAGTGCGACACCGCCCGCTTCCACTGCGGCATTACCCTTTGGGGCGTGGCCTGCGGAGGCGGCATCACCCCTCGGGGCGTGGCCTGGAGGGGGGCGCGGCATCGCCCCTCGGGGCGTGGCATGGGAGGGGGGGGGGAAGGCGGGCCCAGCTGCACCGCTCGCGCCCTAGCCCGCGTGGGCCGTCGGAGCCGCGCAGCATCTACAGTAGCGAGCGGGCGGGGCAGGAGTGGGGAGAGGCGGCATTGACCCCCAGGTTGAGGCCTGCGGAGGCGGCATTACCCCGCGGGGCGTGGCCTGGAGGATGAGCGGGGGGCGGCATTACCCCTCGGGGCGTGGCTTGCGGAGGCGGCATTACCCCTCGGGGAGTGGCCTGATGGAGGATGAGCGGGGGGCGGCATTACCCCCCGGGGCGTGGCCTGCGGAGGCAGCATTACCCCTTGTGGCGTGGCCTGGAGGAGGGGGGGAAGACCAGGAGCAGGAGAAGGAGGGGACGGAGGAGGAGGAGGAGGAGGAGGTGGAGGAGAAGGAGGAGGAGGAGGAGGGCGGAGGCTGGAGGAGGAGGGCGGATGCTGGAGGAGGAGGGCGGGCGAGGATAGAGGAAGACGCGATGGTCGTCGTCTCTGCCCGTGGCGGAGGAGCACGCGGCCCTGCTGGCCCTGGCCGGGGCCATCCGGGCGGAGAACGAGCGGCTGCGCGTTGAGAGCGCGGGGCTCGTTCGCGAGGAGCCTTCCCCCTCCCCCGCTGCTGCCACTCCATCCGCCTCCCATTCTCGCCAGCACCCCTTCTTATCTCCCCCTCTCTCGCCTCCCCTCCTTCCCTCCCTCCCTTCCTCCCCTTCCTCCCTCCCCTCCGTCTTGCCTCCCCCACTTCACGTGATGGGAGTCGTTGCAGCCCGCATTCCTCCCCGAAGAACAGTAACAAAAACACCGAGGTCAACCTCAAGTTTCGGATGTCCGCGTTCAGAAGCGCCTCCAAGGGGGTCCAAGCGCCGATCCAAGAAATCGGCGCGGCCTTCCAGCGCTTATATTGGTGTAGTTATTATTTATTCGTCTAGCAGTGGAAGCACAGTGCACTTTCCCGAGCAGGTACCACGACATCATCTTCCCATTCCCGGCATCGATTGTCTGCAGGTTGTGACCAGCGGCCGGCGAGCGGAACCGAACTTTTTCATGTGACCGCACCGTGATAGCTCGTTGTTTTGGGTGTATGTATGTCCTTCAGCTGAAGACCGCGACAGTATGGGAACCTCAGCCACGGACATACATATATACATAGACATATATATGTATTTATCATATAATCCAAATGCACACATCTATATAAAAATAGATATTGCAACAGGCACGCACAGTCACGGGAATACGCGAACCAGTAGCCAGCCGTAAGTTGACGCACGTTTCGGACAAGACGGGATCACTCTGCCCAAGGATTCGAGAAAAAGCAAACACTTGCATGAGCATAAACTGTCGGAGGTCCACGCTGATTTCTTGGATCAGCGTGCGGAGCGCGCCAGGGTCGGCGTTGGGGCCGTCGCCAGGGGGCTCCACCGCCGATCCAGGAAGCCCGCACGGACCTCCGGCATGTTGTCGGTTATGCAGTTTCCCCCCCCCGCCGCCCCCCCCGAAGAGTGGGGTTTGAGTGGTCTTTGCAGGAGTCCAGGTTCGAGCCAGATCGGGGTCGAGCTGGGTGCGCACTGGGCGACTGCACTGGCGGAGGCAGGTTGAGCTCCAGTGCGCCCCGCAGGGATCGGAGCGTTGTTGGACCCCACTCGCAGCTCGGAGCCCGTCCAAGCTGGACACGCCGGGAGGGCGGGAATACGCTGCAGAGGAGGCGGAGGGGGGGGGAGGAGGAGGAGGAGGAGGAGGAGGAGGAGGAGGAGGAGGAGGAGGAGGAGGAGGAGGAGGGAGGAGGAGGAGGAGGAGGAGGAGGAGGAGAGGAAGAGGAAGAGGAAGAGGAAGAGGAAGAAGAAGAAGAAGAATAAGAAGATAGAAGAAGAATAAGAAGAAGAAGAAGAAGAAGAAGAAGACGAAGAAGAAGAGAAGACGAAGAATAAGAAGAAGAAAAAAGAAAGAAGAAAAGAAGAAGAGAAGAATAAGAAGAAGAAGAAGGAGGAGGAGGGGAGGAGGGGGGAAGGAACGAGGAGGAGGCGGAGGAGGAGGAGGCGGAGGAGGACGTCGACGACGACGATTACGAGTAGGAGCAGCTGGTTGTGCAGTCCGCGGCCCCAGAGGCTCGGACCCCTTCCCCAAGGGCCACTGTTTCGCCCTTTGGTCCAGTTCTGAGGGCCCCCGGGGGCCGAAAGTTTTGGAAGCACGCCTGGTCTGAAGCACATATCTTCGAAGATCTTTGCTCGTGATTCTGGAGGCTCCTCCTCCTTCCCCTTCTCCTCCTCCTCCTCCTCCTCCTCCTCCTCCTCGTTCCTTCCTCCTCCTCCTCCTCCTCCTCCTCCTCCTCCTCCTCCTCCCGGCCGCGTCCTGGATTCCAGTATTCCCATTTTGATCCTGCTCTGAGCTGAGGCTGCACCGCCAGGGTTGGCAGAGAGGCTTCGTGTCGACTTCGTGCCTTGCTGCTGCTCTGCTCCCCTTCCCCCCCCAAACAAGAAACATATCTCCGAAGATCTGCATGCCAGCCGAGTCGAATCGATTGGAGGTTTCCAGGCACCTGGTCTCATCGGGTTGCTCCGGGAGTCTGCTCCTCCGGGGGGGCCGGAGGAGTCGGAGCACTTGGACGCGAGGCTCGGGCGCAAGCGTGCCAGGTTCTCCTTCGACTTGAAGAAGGTCCGGAGAAGGAGGAGAGAGGAGGAGGAGGCGGAGGAGGAAGAGGAGGAGGAGGACGTCGAGGAGGAGGAGGACGATGAGGAGGAGGAGGAGGAGAAGGAGGAGGAGGAGGCGGACGAGGTCGAGGAAAAGGACGAGGTCGAGGAGGAGGAGGAGGAAGAAAAGGACGAGGTCCAGGAGGAAGAGGAGGACGAGGTCCAGGAGGAGAAGGAGAATGAAGATGAGGATGAGGATGAGGATGATGATGATGACGATGACGACGACGATGTTGATGATGATGATGATGATGATGAAGAAGATGACGATGAGGATGAGGATGAGGATGAGGATGAGGATGATGATCATGATCATGATGCTGATGACGATGATGATGCTGGTGCTGATGCTGATGATGCTGCTGCTGCTGATGATGATGATGATGATGTTGATGATGATGTTGATGATGATGATAATGCTGATGATGCTGGTGCTGATGCTGCTGCTGCTGCTGCTGCTGCTGATGCTGCTGCTGCTGCTGCTGATATGAGGAGGAGGAGGAGGAGGAGGAGGAGGAGGAGGAGGAGGAGGAGGCGAAGAGAGGAACGCGTGGAGGTGGCGGAAAGTGAAGATCGGGAGGAGGGGGGCAAGGTCGACGCCCTCTGCTACGTCCTGCTGGCGGTGATCGTGATGACCCCCTGTTGCCACATGATGCTGTGGTGCGTCAGGCGCCCTCCCCATCGACTTTCTCTGCCCCTGCCCGCCCCCCCCCTTAGCCCACGTTCCCTCTCCACAGCTCCCTCTCCCCACCTCCCCCCCGCCCTCCCTCCCTCTCCCCCCCCCCTTAGCCCACACGCCCTCTCCACAGCTCCCTCTCCCCACCTCCCCCCCGCCCTTCTCCCTCTCCCCACCCCCCCCTTAGCCCACACGCCCTCTCCACAGCTCCTCTCCCCACCTCCCCCCCGCCCTCCCTCCCTCTCCCCCCCCCTCCCCCCCCCCCCCCTTAGCCCACGCTCCCTCTCCACAGCTCCCTCTCCCCACCTCCCCCCCGCCCTTCCTCCCTCTCCCCCCCCCCCTTAGCCACGCTCCACAGCCCTCTCCCCACCTCCCCCCCGCCCTCCCCTCCGCCCCTCGCCTTCGCCGTCATTCCTTCTCCGCGAGAGGGAGAGGTCCCCCGCTCTCGCGGCCCCTCGCGCGCTCTGGGTCTTCCGGGCGCCCGCGCCCGCGCGCGGACCGCAGACTCGTCGGCGAACCCGGAGTTCAAGGGCTTTTGGGTTATGTTGTCCCCATCCTACTTCAAGGACCATGTCCCAGAAATAATTTCGAGCACCCCGAAAAGTGTCAAAAGAGTGTCGAAACAGTGTCGGACGAGTGTCTCCCAGGGCCCGACACGTGAAAACCTTTGAATTTCGGTATTCTGTTGGGCGCTCCAAACTCTTCCTGGTGATCAAGGCTAAAGTAGGTTGGAGCATCATAATTTGTGGGTTGGGTCGTGTCGGGCAACTCTCCCAGACCCCCAACGTAATGATTTTGTTCATGGCGTCGACCCCCAGAGGTCCCGACCCTTTCCCCATGACCGGCTTTCCCCATGACCCCAGGGCGGGTCTTGCGATGGGAAGCGTGACGTTCCAACACCAAAATTCAATGGGTCTCAGGGCTGGGTTTCTTGTGGAAGGTTCTTTGTAGTCGGGCCTCCACTGTATCGCGAATCATGAAGACAGGCTCCGTTTCGATCGTCCCGACTGGAGCCCGGCGAGACACGCCAGACGCAATCCAGCAGGGGCCCAGGCACGTTGAGCCCTTCTTGCGGCCGCGGCGTCGGGGCTGGCTCGCCTAGCAGAGCGTCTTGGCCGCGCGCGCGATGCTCACACAGCTGCCGGACTGAGGTAAAAGATCGAGGTTGGTTTGGGGAGGTCGCCCTGGTGTTCTTCGTGTTTGCTGGATGTTCTTGTGCATCCTGGAGGGGGGGGACCCTTGAATGTCCTGTGTGTTTTGGCCGGTAGATGGTCTCGTGCTCTTGGGTGAGGTTCTTCTGGCCTAGGTTCAAGTCGGGCCCGTCCCTCTACAGGAGGGAAGTTCAAAAATAGTTTTAAAAAAAGTTCGTGGACAATTCATTGATTCGTTTTGACCATTCGAATGCTTTTCCTGCTATGTTCAATCGTTCGCTCGAAAACCCCTGTAGGGGGACATGCCCGACTTAAGCCTAGGTCCGACTACACGCGAGCTCACAAAGGGACGGTGCAAGCATCATCTCTCGGAGCTCCGCGTGGTCTGCTCGCGTCGGCGCGCTGGGCTTCCCTTGGCGGCGCCTCCGGCACCCCCTGGCGCGCGGGGCGCGCGAGGGTGGGGCGCCCGGCCCGGATCAAAGAAGCCCTTCGCAGACCTCCGAACGTGTATGCTCATGCCGTTCTGGTCGTCCTCGATGGGCAGCTGCGTGCGTGGCTGGACGCTCGTCGCCGATCGCGTCATGGTGTAGTGCTCGCTCCTCCTCGCGAGACCACTGGTACCTTTGTAACGAGTATCGAAGACTGGAACATGAACATTACCACTGGCGGGCTGTTTTTTTCAATCCCCGGACATTTGGGTCGGGGATGAACTCATGGTGGTGTGGTGTATACTTGTTCCTCCGCTTTCCCGGGGATTCACCAGGTTCCCGTATACAACAAGATCCGCTTTCCTGTGCAGATTTCAGCGCAGGGCCAGGAAAAGCGTCGGTGTGTAGAGCTCGACTGCACGCAAGAGCGACCCTGGGTAAGAGTGACCTTTGGTTCGCGGCTTGTTTGGGGTCGCGGGGAAACAAAAACAGCACGAGCGCGCAAGACGCTGTACTGCCTCGACCTGGCCTCGACCTCGTCTTTTCGCCCTCTTCTATGGGCTGTGCCTCGTCGGAGTAGTTCACGGCGTCGTTAGCTACAGTATGCCTGGCGGCGTCATTGCATTTGATGGAGTGCGATTTACCGTCGCTTGACAAATTCTCCCCCCCTCCTGGAAACCGCCGGGGGAGGCGCGGGGAGTACAACATCCCCCTTCCCCTCCGTCCCGGCGGAGAACTGGAAGGTGAGGAGCCCCCCACTCCCCGTAAACCGAGGGGGGGATGGGCGACTGGTTCGAACTGGCTTGAGTTGAATATTGCCATTAGTGCTGCGGGTTTGATTAAAATGTCCGAAACGCTAGCTCCAGCGTTCGTAGAATTTTGCGACTATTGGATACAACTGCAATGAAAACCTACAAAGACTCGGTCCAGCTCTGTTCTAATCATATTCCAGGACTGGATCCAGCTTTAATGCTATGCAACTTGGGCGCGATCCAACTTGAGTTGAATCTTATCAAGGGCCGTTTCCAACTCTGATAGGTTCCTGCGAGTGTTCGACCCAATTCTAATAGGGGTCCTACTACGATCTGGATGTAGCTCTAGTAGGGCCCTGGGGCCGGATCCAGCTTTAAAGGAACCCTACAAAGGCTAGGTCCAGATTTAAAAGGAATCCAACCAGAGCTAGTTGCAGCTGCAAGGGGATGGAACCCCCTCCCCGGTCTGAACGGGGTGGGGGTGGCGGTCAACCCCTTTTCCCCCCGTTCGAACCAGGGGGGTGCTTGCCAGTAGCGGCAGACAGCGTTCTTTCTTGCATCATCATGTTTTTTCTCTTGTTCGTTCCCTCGCCCTCATCATCATCGCCAGCGTCAGCCCGGGTATTGCGGGCCAGTCTTCGTACACACGCTCGTCCCGTTTCTCTCCCCCCTCCTTTCTGTTCCGCCGTCCCCTCTTCCCTCCTCCTCCCACTCCGTCCTCCTCGTCCACCTGCTTCTCACCCACCTCCACATCCAGTTTGTTTTGAGTAGGGCATGTCCCTCTACAGGAGGAATTTCCAAACATAGTCAAAACATAGTCTTGGGACGATTGTTCGTTGATTGTTTGACGATTGTTGTTTAAACTATGTTTGGAGCATGTTTCATTTTTCTTCCAAAATCCGCCTGTAGGAGGACATACCCTTAACCCTTGTCTTCGGCACCTGCTCCGTCTCCTCTACGACCCCCGCCGCCCACGCCCATGAGGCACAACGGCGTCGGAGGAATATCTGGCTGGTGCTCCTCGTGCGGCGAGTTCTGGTTATACCGCAGCCAGGCGTTTTGGTTCCTCCTCCTCTGGTGGTTGCTGGTGGTGGTGCTTGCCAGCAGGGTTCTTCTGCAGCTCGGCGCGGCAAAGAGCCTGACGACGGTGGTGGACAGGGTGTACGTCGGCTACCTCCTGGCGGGCCTGATAGCCATCATGCTCCACGAGCTTTACGTCGAGATCCAGAAGTTGCTGAACCGGGCGAGGGATTACATCCTTGGGCAGTTCAACACCTTCAAGGACTCCGTGAAGCATGGGCTGGCCGCGGCTAAGGGTACGCTCAAGGACGTGGAGCACGCGGCTCAGAATGTGAGCCCGGCGGCGAAGAAGGCCTACCACGCGGCGGGGGACTTCGCATCCGCCCACTCCCCGAAGGGGAAGGCCTGCTGCTGAGCCGTGCGCCGCTCCGCCCGCGCGGAGGGCGGGAAAGCAGCGCCTGCCTTCCCCTCCCCCCCCCTCCGCGGGAGGACACGCTGCGCCCACTGGTGCGACCCCCTCCCCTCCCCTCCCCTGCCACCTCCCCCTCACCCCTCCCCTGCCCCGCTCCCGCCCCCTCTTCCCCCTCTTCGCTCTCCACCTCCCCCCCCCCCTTCCCCCCATCTCATCACCCTCCTCTTCTCTTCCCCCCGCCCTCGCACCCTTCTTTTGTATTGTATTGGCCTCCAGCCAGTGCCGCCGATCCGGGGGGCTCTGGATTCGGTGATCTTCGCGGCTCTGTGGCCTCCTCCCTCTTCGACTATCCTGGTCCTCTTTGTTCTCCCTAGTTCTCATTATCCTCTGCCACCCGCTGGCCCCTTTGCGTCGCGTGCTCGCTCCCCTCTTTGTCCTCGCTCGTCCTCGTTCCCGCTGGGGGGGGGGGCCTGCAGAGGTACCGGGGGGAGTCTGGTAGCGGCTAGATCTGAGGAGGGGTCCTGGGACCCCCCGAGACATCTTGGGGATGCGCAAACCACTTAGAGAACGCCAGATGGGGGACCCGCTCCCCCCCTCCCCCCCTTTCCCAGACCACCCGAAACATCTTGGGGATGCGCAATTCATTAAGACAGCGCCAGATGGAGGACCGCCCTCCCCCACCCCCCTCTCCCCATTCCCCAGCAGAGCCACCCCTGCGACCCCCCCCCCAAGCAGAGCTGAAACTTTGCCTTAGGCTCAGAGCGGAAGCTTTTGCTGAGGTTCCTTGTAGCTCACACGCCAGATGGGCGGACTTTCCATCTCCCCCGCTTCGTCCGCCTCCGCGGCCCCCTCGATGTTGCCGCGCTTTTCCATATTGCTCCTCCTCCTCCTCCTCCTCCTTCTCCTCCTCCTCCTCCTCCACCAGGGACGGCATCGATATGTCTTTCTTTCCACCGCTCGGCCTGGCGCGTCTTGAGCACCCGGACGCACCTCTAGCGCCTTCCTTGCATACGAGCCCCCAAAGGGGAACGCCAGACCTTCCCCAGCGGCTCTTCCATCCAATGTGACCCCCCCAGAGCATGTCCGCCAAACGCCCCCCGAGGTTTTCAACAAGCTCCACGGATGCCCCCTCCGAAGGTTCCCCCAAGCGGCCCCCGAGAGGCACTGGAAGAGGCCCTGGAGCCACCGTGGGGCCCGGCGCAGCGAAAGCGCTGCAGCATCGCGAGTCGTCACGACTGGTGCCCCGGGTCCGATCCCCATAGGTCCAACGTGTTGAAAAAATCCAAACGGAGGTTTTTAGTTTTGGCATCTGGGGGCCCTCGCCGGGCCTCGGGACCGCGAAAAATCGTCTCAGGACAAAAAACTGGTCCCGTGGAAAGGGTCGGGACTTCCGGGGACCCCGTACGACATCGGATCTCTGGGTCCTTGTCTGGCAGTCGTTCGAGACGGATCGATATGTGATGGCCCCCGGGCTCGAAGCTGGGCGACTACAACTCTCCTACTGGACCGATCTCGGCGCCCTCGAGGTTGTAGACCAGTGCTGCCGACGACCCTGAGATCGAAGGTGTGTGCTGGAGAGCTCCGCAGCTGGTCTACGCATTGGGACCGAGCCCCGGTGTAAAGAACTCTTTTTGGCGTCGCAGCGCGGCAGAGGCAATCCGCACGAGCGCCCAGGCGAGACCAGGTCGCGAAGCACCCCGTGTGCCAGAGGGGGAGCGGGAGGCGAGGGGGCGACAGCGGAGAGGGGAGCCCGGCGCGGGGGCCCTGTCACCCTCCTGGAGCAACAATCGGGGGCGGCAGAGAGGGGGGGTGATGATTAGGGGGGGGGGGGGAATATCATGGCGGGGGCCACGATAGCTTCCCGGATTTCATGGCGCCTCTTCTTATTTCATTGCGTCCCCGCCGCTCCCCCGTGGGCCACGCACGTGCCGCTGGCCATGATTTGCGCCCCCCCCCTCTTGGACGCCCCCCTCTTGGCCGCCCCCGACACAAACGCAGGCAGCGCTCGGACCACTTCCAGGGCTGCGCCGGCGCTTTGCCGGCGGCAGCCCTGGGCGTGGGTGCTGGTGCGCGCGCGCGGGCAGGACGTGGCACGGCCGCCCCTTCAAGGAGGACAACGTACACATACCGCTGCCCTTGGCCCGTTGCCCCATTTTTGTGCCACCCGGGAGGCCCTCCTCGCCAGGGCCCGACTCGCTGCGAAATTTGTGTCAGAGCGCACCCTATAGGAGAGGCCCGGGGAGTAGGGGTATCGGTACCTTTGGGCTTCCCCAACCCCGAGGGCTGAGCCGAAGACCTGGCGGCAGCGAGCAGTCGCTCTCGCCGTCGTCGCCGTTGCCGCCCCAACCCGAGCTCGTTGTCGTCGGCGTCGCCGTCCTTCCTCCTTCTTCGTCGTTCGCGTCGTCGCCGTCCTTCCTCCTCCCTCGTCGTTGTCGTCGTTGTCGCCGTCGTCGTCCTCCCTTCTCCCTCGTCGTCGTCGTCTTCATTGGCCACGTCGTCGCCCTCGTCGGCGTCGGCGTCGTCGTCGTCTCCGTCGTCGTCGTCGTCGTTGTCGTCGTCGTTGTCGCCGCCGTTGTCGTCGTCGTCGTCGGCGTTGTCGACGTCGTCATCGTCGTCGTAGGCGTCGTCGTTGTCGTTTTCGTCGGCGTCGTCATCGTCGTCGTCGTCGGCGTCGGCGTCGTCGTCGTCGTCGTCGTCGTCGTCGTCGTCGGCGTTGTCGTTGTCGTCGTCGTCGTTGTCGTCGTCGTCGTCGAAGTTGTCGGAGACGTCGTCGGTGTCGTTGTCGTCGTTGTGGTCGGTGTCGTCGTAGTCGGTCTTAAGGGGTTTTGCAAACCAAGTTGCGGGTGGGTGGGTGGGATGTTTGGAAGAGCATGGGATATTTCAAATCATGGGTAACAATCAGCTCCACTCCCATCGCAGTTGGCGCGGTTGCCATTGTTCCACGAACTGCACGTGCGGCAACCCCACCCTGGCATCGTTTGGGGGAGAAGTACGGCAAAGATGGGGCCGCTGCCCCAATACAGTGCCGAAGTGAAGGATACTGAGGTGTATCGTATACTCTGGCGGGCGAGCGCCAGGAAGCAGCTGGGGCCGAGAGCTCCCCACGCCAAACCTCAAAGCCTCGAGCACACCGCTACGGACTTGAGCCAACATGGCTACGGAATTCCTCCTCCTCGTCCTCCTCTTTCCCCCCCCCTACCCCCTTCTCTTCCTCCTCTTCCTGCTCTTTCTCCCTCTTTCTCCCTCCCTTCTCTTCCTCCTCCTCCTCCTCCTCCTCCTCCTCCTCCTCCTCCTCCTCCTCCTCCTCCTCCTCCTCCTCCTCCTCCTCCTCTCTCTCTCTCCCTCCTAATCCCCCGATGCGCCCGCCGCTGCGACGCTGACCGCTCCAGGGCCAGGGCCCGCAGCGGGCCAGGGCCTGCCGCCCCGCGCGGCCGCGCGCCGCCCGCGCGCCGCCGACGACCGGCGCCCGCGCAGCGGGCCGCGCCTTCGGGCCGCGCGGCGGGCGTCCTACGGCTCCACCCGGCGGGGGGCAGTTGGCAGAGCGGTGGCGCAGCGTCCTGGCTTGCGGGAGGCCCCGGAGGCCCCAGAGGGCTCAGGTGGAGGAGGAGGAGGAGGAGGAGGAGGAGGAGGAGGGAAGGGAGGAGGAGGAGGGAAGGGAGGAGGAGGAGGAGGAGGAGGAAAGGGAGGAGGAGGAGGAGGAGGAGGAGCCCCCCCTCAGGCAGTGCTCGGTTCCCCTGTTCGATGGTTAAAACGCTGGTGAAATGGGTTGTTTCCCGGTCGACAGGGGAAATGAGCAGTGGCCAGAAGACCTCGTTCATATTAGACGTTGTTGTGTGTCGTACATGCAAGAGCCGAGAAGCACGGTCACTACCCCTAAGGAGACCGCATAAGTTCCAGGATATTTTACTGGGGAAACCACAAATTCCCGGGGAGAGTAAGTAGTAGTAGTAGTAGTAGTAGTAGTAGTAGTAGTAGTAGTAGTAGTAGTAGTAGTAGTAGTAGTAGTAGTAGTAGTAGTAGTAGTAGTAGTAGTAGTAGTAGTAGTAGTAGTAGTAGTAGTAGTAGTAGTAGTAGTAGTAGTAGTAGTAGTAGTAGTAGTAGTAGTAGTAGTAGTAGTAGTAGTAGTAGTAGTAGTAGTAGTAGTAGTAGTAGTAGTAGTAGTAGTAGTAGTAGTAGTAGTAGTAGTCTAGTAGTAATAGTAGTAATAGTAGTAGTAGTAGTAGTAGTAGTAAGTAGTAGTCGTAGTAGTAGTAAGGCGTAGAGTCCGTAAGTCGTAGTCGTAGTAGTATATAGTTAGTAGTAGTAGTAGTAGTAGTCGTCGTAGTCGTAGTCGTAGCAACAGTAGTAAGTAGTAGTATAGTAGTATATCGTGGTAGAGTACTAGTAGCAGTTTAGTAAGTAAGTAGTAGTAGTAGTACAGAGTAAGTAAGTGAGTAGTAGTAAGTAGAGTAGATAGTAGTAGTAGTAAGTAGTAGTAGTAGTAGTAGTAGTATAGTAGAAGTATAGTAGTAGCGGAGTAGTAGTATTAGTAGTAGTAGTAGTAGTAGTATAGTAGTAGTAGTAGTATAGTAGTAGTAGTAGGAGTATAGTAATAAAAGTAAGTAGTAGTAAGAGTACTACTAATAGTAGTAGTAGTAGTAGTAGTAGTAGTAGTAGTAGTAGTAATAGTAGTAGTCGTAGTAGTAGTAGTACTGGTAGTGGTAGTAGTAGTGGTAGTAGTAGTAGTAGTAGTAGTAGTAGAAGTAGTAGTCGTAGTAGTCGAAGTAGAAGTACTAGTACCTGCAGTAGTGGTAGTGATAGTAGTAGTCGCCGTCGTAGTAGCAGTCGTCGCCGTAGTAGATTTAGTGATATGTGTGGTAGTTGTCATCGTAGTAATAGTAATAGCAGGTGTTGTAGTAGTACTAGTAGTAGCAGAAGCAGTAGTTACACTGATACTATGCCTAACCGTCCGTGGTAGCAATCGCAGCAGTGATCGTGAACGTCATAGTAGTGGTAGTAGTAGTAGTAGCAGTAGTAGTAGTAGTAGTAGCAGTAGTAGTAGTAGTAATAGTAGTAGTAGTCGTAGTAGTAGTCCAGTAGTCGTAGTAGTAGTAGTAGTAGTAGTAGTAGTA